AGCTGTCTGAAAGGGGTTCTGTCTAGTTGCCTTCAGCTTAAGAGAATTGCATTACTTAGAGGACACCTTCACTCTCAGTTCTACTGGACAGTACAGAAGAATGGAGCAATTGTGTGATAGCCACTACAGAGAAGGTTAAAAGATGCCTTTCAAAAACATCTGAAAGCACCAGAATAGATTCACTCTTATTATGGGTACTTTGCTGATAAAAAAAAGTACCTACAGTTTTATCATTGTAAATTACTGATCTTATATTCACATAGGACATCAGTCAGTCCTATTTGTGATTTAGTCTTGAATATCAAATTAAAACTGGTATCATTAAACATTTGTTAAAAGCTGCCAACATGTCAGTCAAATACTTAACACAAGCAATTCAAATGCACATGCATGCACACACACACACACACACACACACACACATACATATAGAGGGTCAGGGAGGGGGAGAGAGAAACAGTGGAGAGAAGAGAGGGAAATTTTCCCTGGCATTTAACAAAATATATTGTTATATGAAACTAGAAAGGAATGCTGTTAAATAATCAAGGTCAAGAAAAACAGTGGGAAATTATAAATATGAGAGTATATAACTCCCAAATAGCAAACACATTTAAAGAAAAGATCCTCATTATAAAAAAAAAACAAACAAGAAGCTAAAGGTATAAACAACAGATAAACTGATAAAAACTTAAAAAGTCAATTCTAAACAGGCCACATTAGGATAGCACAAGGAAAAAAAAAAGATTGCTGAGAAATCTTGCCTAGGAAGTTGTAGTAGCAGCAGCCATGGAACATGTAATATATTTCTTATTCTTTTTAAAATTAAGAAAAAGTATATTTATAACTGCATGTCAGGATATACACTGGCATCAGGCACAGCTGGATCCTGGGGCACCAGCATTGTCAGGCTCAAGTCTCTCCATCTTTCGGCTCTGCTTCCTTTGCACAGGCTCCATTCTCTCGCTGCTTTATTCATCGTGATCCAACCTGTTTGTTTGAAATGTTTCTAATCCTACGAAGTCAAAGCACCTCAATAAAGAGAATTCCCCCCCCCGTTAGTTAGTAAGGTCTGAGTTATCACTGGGCCAAATTGTGAATCATACAAACCCTCCTGAACAAACTGGTCCGGTCCAGGAGTAGACTTTGCTGATCAATGAGGTTGGAATTACATGTCCACCCTCAAAGCCCGGGGTTGGGTCATGTGTCCAAAGCACATGGACTGAAAACAGCAAGCAGTGGTTCCAAACGACATCAGGGAATTGTAATGAAATGGAATGGACGTTGGCAAATCAAGAACTACTGACATCCAGGATAAGCTTTCATCATTATTACTTTTCTCATATCTGTAAATCACAGTGATAAAATTTTTTTTAAACCTGAGAGCTTTCAGTCCTACAAAGCAAAGTTGATCCCCTATCTTCCTCTGGACAGTTCACCAAGTTGTTTCCAAAGTGTGCATTTGTAATCAATTCCTCAGAGCGAACCCAATAGATTTTTCCATTTATAAAGCAGAACATCAACCACAGGCCTAAAGACTTTGAAATTGTTCCTGCTCACTCCTTGTCATGAATGAGGTAAACTGTTCAAAACCTTAAAAAAATAAAAATGCCAGCTAATAAGATCATTTGTGCACATTCATTAGCATGAACACTTCCCATTGATTAGCACAAAGTGTTACAGAAAAACAGATCCAAAAGATTACATAAAGTTTGGAAACATAAAAAGTGCCAACCAATGATGAATATGAAGAATAAAAGGAACTCATATTTATCTAACAGATACTAGTAGTATAAAAAACAGAAATGTCATTCGCAGGTAACAGACTCTAGAAAATTTCATAGAACCATGCACATTAGGCACCTGTAAGAATGTTACTAATATCGGTCTTTGTAATAGCAAAAGTATGGGTGCAGATATCTACCTAAAGTAGCGTAGACCTAAAGCTTGTGGTCTGTTCATAGAACAGATTAGATATGGAGCACTGTAAAATTTGAAGCATGGCAAAATGTGTCAGCATGGTTGAATCTCAAACACATAATACGGAGTGGAAAAAAATAAGTAACAAATTCACTGAGTAAATGCATATACTATATTTCTGTGAGGTCAGAAACAGTTACATAATCTTTTTAAGGTTACATTTTGGGCACCCTGAAGACAATTAAAAAATATATGAGAACAACAAATTAAAAGGTTTCTATAATGACTACCCCTTAAAAAGGGATTCAAGGGGATGTGATCGGCAGGAAATACAAGATTATTTAAATTTTATTTTAAATGTTTTATTTAAAGGCTGTTAACATGAAAAAGAAGATATACAACACAGATTACATTATGATCACCAAGGCAGCGTTTTACATGGCAAAAATCAAAACAAAACAAATTTATAAAGTAAATATACTGGCAATGAACACAGGACTTGAAATTTAATCCAAGCTACACATGTGTAGAATGATTTGACCACAGAGTTATGCAGAAGAAAGTTTTTTAGAACACCAGAATTCCAGCCGTTCTGATTTAAACTGCCTTATTCCCCTGGTGAGTATTTTGAGAGGACTTCTATATTACATGAACTAACATAACACTTAAATACTGAAAAAATATAACACAGTTAAAAACGTATTTGTCATGCAATTCTGTATAAAATATATACTGTTATTACTTTAAAAATTAAAAACAAAAAATGCCCGTCTTGGCAGAAAACTGATAAGATTTTTGTTGAGGAGTTATCTAATGAAGTCATTCCTTTAAAATTGTTCGGAAATATTCATAAAGTTGTAAATTTCTACTTGTACCATCTTAAAATATTATACTATGAACACACTTTCTACTATTTACTTGGAGAACAAAAGAATATCTTGAAGACAGTGTTTCTCAAAATGAGGTCCAAAGGCCCAAAAGGATTCTAATGTGGACTCAGTGATAAACATGTCAAAAAAATACCCTGTGTGATTATTCTACATTCTGAAATGCTCTACGGCAAAGAGCAACAGTTAGAAGCATCATCATAAACACATTTCTAACATGTAAGAATTCTCTGTAAGTTATATTGTTAATACTGCTTTTTGTTTTAAGACAAGTTTCAGGCATTAAAGAAACGTACATGTCTTAGAAGCAAACGTCAATGTCTATGAACATTTTCCTTTGATGTTTTCATTAGTTACAAACTAAATTATTTGAAAAGACAATGTATGACTGTAAGCTTTGGTAAAATCATATTTCTCATGAAATGGGGTATCTGAAAAAGATTAAAAGATAATTTATTAAATGTTTATAAATTTTAAATCAATCTAAATTTAAAACTAAATTGTTTAAACTAAGACTGTACCATTGGAACTTATTTTCATTTAGATAATTGATGGTTCCCTTTCACATCCTTATTATAAAAATGGTACTAAAACAGAGTGATATATCTATCGGAAACTATTTAAATAATACATTTCTAAGCACTAATTTAAATAAAAACAGTTTGAAGAACTCTAAGAACTTTAATAAGAACAGTTTGAAATTAATATAACTAGGTATTTCTTGTGTTATCCTACTAAATAGAAAATATAATTAAGGCCATAGAACTATAATATATGTGTTTTGTGTAAAAACTTAACTATAACATCCTAGAATAATATATGGATTTTTATTTGAAATTGTTATTTTTTGGATTTCCCTGAAGACTACATATAAACTGAGCTCCAAAAGTACAAGTAATGTGGTTTGGAGAGAAACTAGCATACGTTAGACATTCTACTTAAAACACAAGTTGTTTTCTTGTATCATAAATAAAAAAGAAAAAAGATGAGGCACTACGTCTCACTCAAAAACAGAATGTGTATACAAGTGTGGTTAACAAGCAACTGCCTCACTGTCAATTCAGTTCATAAAAAGCAACTCTATCAACAAATAATTCTATATTCTCTGCTATCGACTAAGAGTCAATTATTAGATCTAAATATGACCACATGAAAAACTTAAAATTAGCTTCTAGACAACTATAAAATGGTTAATTGAATCCTAGGTGGTGACAAGTTTTTCCAAGCATTAAATGGCAACATAAGCAGAGAATGCACACTTGAAAAACGAGGATCAGACCCACTCTTCTTCATATATCAGAAGAGGATTGATATATTCAAAACCTGCAAATTCATACCCATCAATCTTCCTCATGATGTCATTATCATCTGGGGTGAGCCGGACAGGTTCATTAGTAAACTGAGAATCAAAGTTGTCCAGACCAAGTCCCCCAGACATATTTGGTTTAAAGGGAGACACCACCTGCTTTTGCTCCATCATCTCCCAGTTAATATTTTGAAAGAATGGATGCCCCTGGACATCAGCAAATCCCCTTTGAGGACAACAACCCAGTCGTTCCACTGGGTCCCTGTTCAGAAAACTCTTCAGAACACTTGCAGCTTTTATGGACAAATAATGAAGTATGTGAATTTTTCTTTGCAAAACAACTTCCAAGAGATTATTGTTAGACTTTTGGTCAGAGTTGTCAGAGCTCTCAACAAGATGGAATGGAGACTCCCCAACCATCATCTCGTACATCAGCACTCCAAGAGTCCACCAGTCCACACCAAAGCCATACTCTTCCCCTCTTACAATTTCTGGAGCCAGGTAATTAGGAGTGTCACAGAAAGTGCTGGTCGTGTCTCCCGGCTCTAAGCCTTCCTTACAAATACAGTAATCAGACAGTTTAATGTGCCCTTCTGAGTCAAGTAATAAATTGTCTGGTTTCAAATTTCTGTACAGTATCCCTCACTGATGGAGATAGTTAAATGCTAGACTGATTTCTGCAGAGTAAAATCTGGCATGTTCTTCAAGAAGTGTTCTTTGTTGCCTCATATGAAACATCAGATCTCCCCCACTTACATAGTCTAGAACAAAGAACAGTCTGCTTTCTGTCTGGAAGCAGGAATGCAGTCCAACTAGAAACGGACAATCAGATGCCTGCTGTAAAACGTGCTTCTCTGTCCTTACCCGGTCAGTATTGACAAGCTCTTTTTTCACTGCTTTCATCGCATACATACGATCTGATTTTTTTCAGTTGACCAATAGGACTTTCCCATAACTTCCTCTGCCAATCACGCTGAGCAAATCAAAGTCCTGAAGACCTAAACCAGGTGAAATTTTGCCACTTTCCCCAGTGTTCCCTGCCTCATTCTCTTCATCAACTTGTTCTAAAGCCTCCTGACCTGAAAGATTATGTGGGATCGCTGTCTGTGCAGGGCCTGAGGCATGGTTGACGGATCCACTGGCACCATGGGCTCTGATGGTAGAGAACGCTGCCCACAGTGAACTGTGACAAGTCGGTGGCACTTCTTGTGCACCGAGAGTTTACAGCGGGTGCACTTATACACCTGGCGGCCAAGGCCCCCTACACGGTCTGTGCAGACAGCGCAGTGAGCTCGCCTGCTGAAGCGTTTGGCTTGAAAAGCGTGGCCGTTTACACAATACAGCTTTCTCCAGCAGCCTGCAGCTCCCTGGCGGATGGATGTATCTTCTGCTCGACAAGACACTTTTGGATGTTCTGCTATACAAGGCGAGGCATTAACTAGGAGCTCAGAGTCTTTCTTTAACTCAGAGAGCATCATGGCCTCTTCTAACTCCAACTGAGGTGACCCAGGATAGGAGTCTCCTTCCACCTCTGCCCAATTAGTGGTGAAAAGCTGTTTATTGTTCAAACACCACACATCTCGATCTTTATCACACAGGCCCTCAAAGGAGCTGGGATTCTCAAAAGACGTTGTCATGATGTCTCTTCCCAAGCTCAGGACCGATCGGGTAGAGGTGTGGGCGGTGGAGGTGCCTGGGAAGAAGGGACCATAGAGGGGTTGGCTGCCCAGGAAAACGGGCAGGAAGGGCTTGGTGAACGAGTGCGGCCTGACCGCCGCACGGACCACATTGGCCGGAATTCCGCAAGGCTCTCTGTGGTGTTGTTTCCAATGGCGGCGGCCAGGCCTGGGTGGATGTACACCAGGCTTCCCAGTGTCTCTCGGGGGCAGGTGGCTGTGACTTCGGTCTTTCCCCCTGGACTTTGACTCTCTGGCTTTTCTGTGCCCGGCTCTGGGGAGACCTGCCCAGAGCTACTGGGTGTTTCTGGGCGTGGTGATACTTGCCCTGCGCTCTTCCCAGCTTCTGTGCGGGTGGTATTTGGGCTTAGGGAGACTTCCCTGGGGCGCCTTGACTTTGGTAGGTCACTGGTGGTCACTCCCGGGGAGACCTTCCCTGGGGTGTCTGTGACAGTCGTGTCAAATACGTATTTGGTTCATTTTATTTTCATTAGGCTATGTCCACCCTTTCCCGATCCTTATGCTACTAAAATGCAAGTTTCATAAAGAGAATGTACAGGATGAAATTTCTTTTCTGTTCACTGTGAGAATTCCTGCTTGTGTTTTGTCTCCAGAAGAATTGGTCAATAAAGATTTGAATCAAAAATAGCTTAGTTATTAGACATCCAGTGACCATTATGACAGAAGCAGTGATTAGATAATAATTTAACTCTTTCCTGAAAAAAATCTAATACTTTGCCCATAATTCTTTCCTTTTAACATAACCATTTGTGACCATGTTATTTTTGTTACCATCTGTGCTGTTTGAGTCTCTTTTTCTTCTTTCCCGTCTCCTAGATACATTAACTTTATTCTCCAACTTCGTCCCCTTTTTTTCAATTGTTATTTGGAAAATAGTTTGCAATTTTAAACTTCTATTGGTTATTTCTAAATTTTTAACAGAACTACTTATAATTTCTAGTAAAATCTACACTTTATCCTTAATTGCCAAAAAAGAAATGCTGTACTTACTGTAGCCTCTGCTGAGCATATCTTATCTTTCTTGCTTTTATGCTGAATTATACTTCTACATTTTAAGTTTTTTACATTCATATATGGATTGTCTTAAACCATAGTATATTTATCATTCACAGTCCCAAATATGCACAGGACTACACAGTGTGAAGTAACTTTTAAATCTGAAGCTGCTTGTAATAGTAGATCAAGTGATTTAGTTCAATTCTTGGCTCAAGGCAAAATATCCTCAGAGTGAAAGAAGAAACATCTTCAAAAAACATCAAGACTCAATAAGATTATGAAACATTACTAAGCCTGGAATAGGATTACAAAGAGTGTTCAAAGAAGTGAATCACAGATGCTTTATCCTAAGCTCATTACTTATCTTGTAAAAGGAGCTGAGAGGTAAAAACCATTTTCATGTGACCACACACAGTACAGGAGTCATATAAATTTCAAGAAGGCTAGAAGCCAAATCATGATAAAAAAATGGAGAGATAGCATCAAAACCACCATTCAATATACACATTAGAAATTCTCTATTCAGGGCCAGGGATTTAGCTCAGTAGTTCTGCCACCTGCCTCAAAATAAAATATCCTTTCAAGTGCAAAATGAAGACATCCTGAAAGAAACAAAAAAATGAAACAATTTATAAACTGGGTACTTACCCTGAAGTTTTAAGAATGTTTTAATAGAAAAATGATTTCAGATGGAAGCTCACAGTAACCAGAGTAATGAAATTAAAGAAAGGGACATATACATCTATACATATACCTATCTC